ACCCAGTCAAGTTTTTCTTTAATGAATTCTCGTTCCCAAGTAAAATGATCATGAGGATCACTTAGTTCAACCAGTCCTGTTTCATCAAGACATCTATTGAAGGCATCCATTGAGTTTGCATTTGGTACAGCTCCTCCAGCTCTGTCTCTTGGGTGTCTGATAGCATTAAAATCTCCTACTAATAACCAAGCATCCATAGTATGTTCCGCTATGGTCCTAATAGTCTGCCATAATTTCCCTCTTTTAAGATAATTTGGCTCCCCATAAACGAAAGAGACAAAACCCCACTGATTTGAGTTCTTCCTTCCCACTTTACAGTGCAACAGTTGTTCCGTAGAGGAAATATTTTCAACCCTTATGTCTCCTTCATTCCAACAAACCCAAATTCCACCAGCAAACCCTGTAGCTTCTACTCTAATCCAATGTGAAAAACCCAATTTTCTAACCACTCTGTCAGCTCTTTGACCACTTATACGAGGTTCAATGATACACAGAATATCTATGTCATTCCTTCTTACTATATCTTTAATGAGTTGAGGGAAGACTCGGTTTCCCGCTCCCCTACAATTCCAACTAGCCACAATCATTATAAGAAACAAACAAAAATGGTGAAAGAAAAAGGACGGGGTACTCATCTGATCTCCCCTGTATTAGGCACGTATTCCTCCTCATCCGAAATGTCTTCTGCCATTTCAGCAGTATCTTCCTCCTCCATCCCCGCCAGTTCTCCTGTCTGGCCATTTTGGATGTCTGGTGGTTTGGTTTTTTGGTAGTCAATATACACCTCCATTCCTTCTATCTCCATGTTCCTGTGGCGTAAAGTGTCCCGAGTCTCCGCTCTGCTCCCCTCCAACTTATTTGATTTACTATTCAATTTTTCTAATTGGGCTCCGTCTTTAACTCCCACCAATTGCCCCATTTGTCCCGTAACTACCTTATGGATTCTCTGATTAATCAGTTTGGGCTGACTTTTGCTTGCTTGGTCTCCCTTCTCCACCGTCTGGGCTTTTTCCGCTTCTTTGGGTTTGATGGCTGCTACAGGCCCATTTCTATCTAATAATTTGGACTTGTCGCTTTCTTTACTCTGCAGTTTATGTATTTTTTTGGCTTTCAAAATCAGATTGCCTTCCTGCTCCCTTCTATTTGAAATTATTGAGCCTCTTTGTAGATTCAGCTTTTTCTTCTTTTCATCCGATATTGTCTCGGCACCCTCGCCACTAGAGTTCGCAGACGTCTTCTCTATGATATAGTTCCTTTCCTCTCTATCTCTTTCCTCATCTTCGAGTTTTGCGAGGACTGCAAATCGTGATTTGGGCGGCTGAGTTTCAGCTCTCCTGTTAGCCTTTGTAATCATTCCTGACTCCGTACGATTTTCCCGCAGATCCCTCTGCCTTGATATCTGAGCCTTCTTTGACCCAGATACAAGCATCCACGGTCCAAAGGTCTCTCGCTTGTCTGTTACTGCACCAGTAATTTTCCGTTCCGGTAAGTTTCCTTCCAATGACTTTTCCGACGAGCCTTGCTGATGATTTTCTAGGCATGAAGACCCTGTTACTGTTTGAGAGTTCTTTTTCCACGGACATGCTTCCCGACGGTGACCATATCGGCCACATTCAAAACATATAAGCTTCAGTCCCTCATACTCTACACTAAACACTTCGCCTGCCACAATCACACGAGGAACTAGTTGTTTCTGCAGATCTAGTTCAACGCATATCCGGGCATACCGAGCGCGCTCTACCTTGTCCCCTGCACTATCTGCTAGTGTGTGCAGATCTACTCGAAGAGGTCGGCCAATTCTATCCCCAAGTCTAAACATGCAGTGTTTATTATAGCACATCATAGGTATGTTGGGAACTCTGACCCATGAGACAATTCTTCGGAGCTGGTTTTTGAACGGATCAAAGTAAGGAGTCCATCTCTGCACTAATATACTATGCTGTGCTATTACCCATGGTCCATCATAGAGTACTCTTCTGTAATGTTCCCTCCACAAATCCTGGTTGGTGAACTTGACTATGTAATAATTATTGGGGATATCTATTAGCTCAAAATCTATAGTGCCCCAAAGACGTGTGAGGTGTGTTCTCAGCATATACAGATTAAATCGTTTTCCCAGAACCTTGATAACCAAAGAATAATTCCATGGTTTGCACCATTCATTATATTCCTCTTGTGTGATCGGAACTACTGGGTAGACCTTCATCAGTTCTCTTACCTCTTCAGACGGCTCCGGCATCTTCCAAAAGACTTCACCATCTTCCGCAAATAACTCTTCAGTTTCCAACAGTAAACAAGGCTTTCTCTCTCTTGGGAATCGTGCTTGATTTCGAACTGTGAAGTGCGCGTGTATGGAGGACACAGGTCAACGCAAAAATCCACCGGACCGGCCAGTCGAACTGGGTGAAGATGACCGGAAAAAGAAAAAGAAGCTGACTGAAACTGGGAATACCATCATGGATGACCAGATGGAGGAGGAAGAGGTGGAACAAGAGGTCGATGAAACAGAGGGGGCCTCCCGCGGGGTTCGAACTAAGGAAGCTGCTCTGAAGGAAACAACCAAAGCACCATCATACAAACAATCATTGATGGGGTTTAATGGGATGGCTAATGGAGGGGAATGTCTTTAGTTAGCTTTAATGTGGACAATACATCAACGTCAAATTCATCGAGAGAAAAAGCTGAAACTTCAGCTTGTGTTTACTAGAAGAAAATACCAAACCTTTATCAATAGTTGGCGGCTCTTGCAGTTACGTTACGGAAGACATAAATCATCTTTGTTCTTTCTTTACTTTTGTTTCTTTCAAATCTATTAGCTACTCTTTTCGTCTTCTATTTTTAACTCTGTATTTTGTCCCAAACTTCTAATATTATAACTCTTTATACCCATTTATTTGGTTAATATCATTTTGCCTTTACTTGAAAGGGATAGAATACATTGTATCAGTTTTTTTGTGTTTGGCTTTTGGACATGTTTTGGATTTCAATACTGTTGTGGATAAGATCTCAAAGAGGTAGAGATTATTTTTATATTTTATTCAATTATTTTAATGTAACTTCCGTTTATACCAAAGTGATAAGGACACAGTTTTCTCAATTCAATTAATAGGATAAAAAGAAAGAAAGTAGGTTTAAATCAGTGGAAACATTACAGATTTTTAAAATTTTTCGATACACGAAAAGTACACGCAAATCAATGGGGCAACAAAGTGATAATTTAAAAACATATGGAACGAGTGGAGTTTTGTAACTACAAACTTTTGTCAGCCAAAGTGTCGTTCATTCATATTCCCTGCATGCACATACACAATAGTTAGATGAAACAATGAAAATTAGGTCTAGAAGGAGTAAATTAATGTAAATTAAGATGATGATAAAAATTCTCTGAAAAATAAGTTACAAATACTAGTTTGTAAAAGTTCAAAAAGATATATGTAAAAGTTCTCAAAAGTATTTCTTTTCCCACAAAGAGCTCATTTTTAGTGGGAAAAGCTGAAACAAATGAGCATTAAGTTTATTTGCACCATATTTATGTTAGCATGATTATGTATTTGAATTGGAGTTGAACAAAAAACATGTTGAATGAGTGTAATTTTTAAGATTGATTTTGATCAAAATTTAGTGAGTCTCGTCGAACAGATATTTCTGTTGGAAACTTTTTTTTTTAAATATTAAAAAGTGATCTTGACAGAACTGATTTTGTTGGACTATTTTTTTTTTTATCATTTTCATTTTTAGATTTGCAATTACCAGAAAGGATAAATCCTTATCACTTTTTCTAATATGCCTTTATTATTTTTTTATTAATTTTTAAATATAATTTAATATGTTATGTGACTACTGTAGACTGTAGTAACCACTTTTAACCTTTTGATTTTGGTGTTAAAATAAAAATTTAAAGAAAATTATTTTTCAATATTCAATCAAAAAATATTTTTTTTTCATTATTTCAATTGAACAATGTGCCTTCACAATAAATATAAAATTATACTCCTCCGGTCCTTAATATAAGATCTATTTAATTAATTTGATTAGATTAAAAAAGTTAGGCAAGTTAGTTAATTATAAGAAATATAACATGTTTTTCTTTTAAAATACCATAATCATCTTTTTTAATACCCCTCTTCCTCTTCTACTTGATTATGGTTGAGGGAGTATTCATAGGGGTAATTTAGAGAAAATTGATAAATACGAAAAATAAGTCTTATATTTAGGACCAAAATCAACTCAACAATTAGGTCCTATATTAAAGATAAGAGGAGTACTAAGATAAATAAGTAAATAACGCAATGCTTGATAAAAAGTATAAATAAACAAAGAAGCAAACGTAAAATAGGGAAAGGACACTATTACTCAACCTTAGCCTGATTTATTCTCTATTTTACTTAAATGAGGGTAAAGATGTGAAGTGTGATTTTGTAAAAATTAAAATCGAAAATTAGAGTATTTACTTTTTGCTAAATCAAATTTTCTGGTTTTTAAAATGATTTTTATTACAATTACTTTAGTAGGATAAATGAATGTTTTATATCGTCTAATCCTAACGTAGTTGACCAAAAATGGAGACGTTAAAATTTTAGATGTTGACAACATTAAACATTCTCAAACACTTAATAAGTGATGACATGACAAAATAATTTGACATTAACAATATTAAAGTTCAATAACTGGAAAAAAATACTTTGTAAAATTAAGAGATTAAACAAGTTTGAAGATTCAAAATACACTTCTTTTTTTCTGGTTAGATATTTTTATATAGCAACCAAAACACCTGATGATAATTGAAAACATTTTTTTTTATAGAAATTAAACTATTTTTCACGATTTTTTTTTAGGTGGGGACCAAGGACAGATCTCAAGATTACTCTATAATGTCGACATCGTTGGTCATTGTTTTGCCATACACCAAACATCCCGTTGTCTCTTCTTCTTGCACAATTCATTCTTCTTTTCTGTATAATAAACACTAATCTGTGATTGTGAATGCTCTCTTCTCTCTCTCTCTCTCTCTCTCTCTCTCTCTCTATTTCATAGTTTCTGTGTATTGTGAAGATCCTCTTTACCTCTCTTTCCCACATTCATCAATATCTTTTCTTCCCTTGCTGCCTTACGTTTCATGTAGTCCTTCTCCTTCACATGTGAAATCAAACCCTAATTTTCTATATGTGGAAGGAAATTTTAATTGGATGCGTTTCCTTGACTACAGAAATGAGTGTGGCAAGGAGAGGTAAGGAGGTTCTTCAAACGCACATTCCCCAGCTTTGGCGTTGTGCGGCGGGGCGGTTTCGATTAAGTCAGGTGTGAATGGATTCTTTAACTTCAGTTTTAAATTGGAATGGACTCGTGTATTTTTGATAGAATTTAAGATAAGTTGATTATTCGTTACTGACAAATAATATGATTTTGGTTATTTATATTGATCTATTGATTGATATGAGGTTCTGAAAGAGATAAAACTGAAGTACTTGGTTGAGAAAGTATATCTAAGGGTAGGCAAGGCAGTTAATCTCTTGAATATTTCAGCTGGGGTTGTTGTTTCATATTTTGTGAGTTACTCCTCCAGTTCTTAATATAAGACCTATTTAACTAATTTGATTAGATTAAGGAAGTTAGATAAATTAGTTAATTATAAGAAATGTGATGTATTTTTTCTAAAATACCATAATCATTTTTCTTAATACCCTCTCTCCCTTTTCTACTTGATTATAGTTGAAAGAGTATCCATGGGGGTAATTTAGAGAAAATTAAAAAAATATAAGAAATGGATCTTATATTTAGGACCAAAACCAACTCAATAATTGGGTCCTATATTAAGGACCGAAGGAATATGTTGATTAAAACTTAGTCTAAGAGTGTTTTTGAGAATTATTATGCTTAATCAATTTTGTGTGATGTGATATAAGCTCCAGTCTTTAATATAGAAATTAGTTAACTAATTTAAATAAATTAATGAAATTAGTTAAATTAGTTATTTATAATAAATATGAGTTGATTTTCATAAAGTATCCTTTTAATCATGATTACCCTTAGATAAAAACTCCCTTAATCTGTGTAATATGGATACTTTAGAGAATGCATTGTAAATTTGGGAGACAAAATATATTGAGATTCTAGTTTCAACCAGATCTTATATTAAGGATTGAAGATGATATATTTTCTTAAATGAATACTAGACTCCAAAAATATACTTCTTCGGTTTTTAATATAAGATCTAATTAGAAGGTTGATCTCTTGTTTCTTATATTTATCAATTCTTTTCTAAATTACCCCTATTAAATAATTAAATACCATAATAATACTTATTACTCTTTGATAATACACCTATATATTTTATAAAGTGAGGGAGTACTTATTACTTATTAATTCCATATATACATCAATTCTACCATTTGATATTTTTAATAAAATAATTTAAAACATTTTTTGAAATGTCAGTTTTTCAAAGAAATTTTAACTGAGGGTATTTTGGAAAATATATATCATATTTATGATTATTACCTCATTTAATTAAGTTTTTTAATTTAATTAAAATAGTTAAATAAGTCTTATATTAAGTATCAGATGAGTATAACTTCTCAGCAGTTTCTCATATTTAAATATTCAAGCACGTCAATCTTGCAAGAATTTTTCTCATTTTTAGGTTGCATTGAAAAATGGAGTAAGAGAAATGTAGCCGACATACTACAAATGAATCTAGGACTTCTAAAGTTTTTTATGCATGAAGTTTGTCCAAAATTCAATACAAACTATCTCTATCTTATATTGTATATGATTTTTGTTTTAAATTTTGAAAAGGGACAATTATATATAACCACACTTTTAAAAGAATTAGAAAAAATTTTCCCAACAAAGAATCTTGAAATTACAATATTTCAATTTTAAAAGAAAATTTTGGAAAAAATGCCACTAGCGAGGGGTTCAAAATTTAAAAAAAATAAAAGGTCATGAATTCCAAAATTCTAAGTTGGATTTACTTTCTTTTATGTTATGTTAAAGTGTTAAGTACTTGAATTAAAATATTATAATTTTAAGATTCTCCCAAATAGCCACTTTTCGAGCCTAGTCCTAAACCTAATTAATTAAACGAAAAATGGAAAGTAAAAGTTTCATTGAAATCGTAATTTCATTCAAGATATCATTGTATACTAAACAATTACTAGTGAGGGGTTCAAATTTTTTTTTTTAAAAAACAAAAGGTCTTGAATTTCAAAATCCTAAATTGGATTTACTCTCTTTTATGTTATCTTGAAATGTTAGATACTTAAATTAAAATATTGTAATTTTAAGATTCTCCCGAATAGCCAGGCTTTGAGCCTAGTCCTAAACCTAATTATTAATTAAATGAAAAATGGAGAGTACAAGCTTAATTGAAAGTGTAATTTCATTCAAGATATCATTGGATGCTAAACAATTTTTTTCTTATTTTTACTATAGCCATCTTTTTGGTAATGGGATGTTTTTTTTATTTCAACATCTCATTCCCTTATCTCCTTAGCATTGAAGGCAAGGATTCATCATGGGCCCCTAATGCTGGCGGACTACCAAAATGGATCTATTTTGATTTGTACTTGGGCCTTGAATGTTGCAAAATGCGTGGAAGAAATGGCAAAACTGTCAGAAGTGGGATTTGAACCCACGCCCTCTCTCAAAGACCAGAACTTGAGTCTGGCGCCTTAGACCACTCGGCCATCCTGACCTGATGTGGGGTATGGAGAAGGTATTTTTATGTTTTATATAGCATTGGTAAATTTAAACGCACGATTTTTTTTTTGACCGGAATTCATGGTTCATATTAGTAACATACTACCTTCAATCTTAATTATAAGAGCTAATTAACTAATTTAAAAAGATTAAAAAAATAAGTTAATTTAGTTATTTGTAATAAATAGTCTTTCCTAAAGTATAACATACTACCAACAGTCTTTCTTAAAATATCTTTACTATTCAAGTGTGTTAGTTAGAACTATCATTATTATAATGATTATTTTGAAAAAAAATGTATAAATATTAGAGACAAAATAAATTAAGGTCTTATATTTATGACTAAAATAAAAATCAAATAAGATCTTATATTAAAGACAAGAGGTAGTATAATAAGAATGATACCCGAGAGTTTGCCATGTAACATTAAACATTGGAAAAATTGACTTTTAGTGGTACTAGGAGCCATGTAATGAGTCACTGCTAAAAGCAAAAAGCGTTGACACTTAAAATTAAGTCACTATTAAAACTATATTTATAGACCAAGTCGTGACATATGTAGTTATATTTTAACATTGTATTAGTACAATACAGTATTTTGTTAATGTTCTTTCTTAAGTTATTACTTTGTTTCATTGGTTTAATTTGAGTGGTTAGTCTTGATTAGTTTAATGTGATTAGGGCAAGATAACGTGAGAGTTTGCTCCTCCCATTAATTTGTTCTCATAATGTTCTTCTTTTTAAATGTGACTCTTATTTCTCAATCGTTCATCTTTTTTTTTCCCCCTCTCTTTAGTTTTTGCTTGTTGTAGCTTTTATATGCAAACGTGACATTTCTTTCGGTTGAGAGCCTGTCTGGTATGCACTGAGATGAAAAATAGGTTGCTAAAACATATTACGTTTCTTCAATGAAAAAAATATAATATTATTAAATAAAAATATGCTTTTTAATTAATATATCCCCACACTGAAGCGCTTGTTTTTTACATTTGCCCTGTTTCTGCCGTAACAATAACAAGGGAGCAGATAGAGCAAACTGTAATTTACGAACAACGTTGCATCATGATCCGAGTTTGGATGCAAAATTGAAATTAATTTAATATAGATTCCAATTGGCTTCGTGTTATGTGGTTTTATTAATATCAATTGAAATGATAGGGAAATTGGAATTTACGGACAACATTACACTGTGCTCGCCAAGTATATGCGCAAAATTGAAATGCATTTAATAAATCACAATTGCGTTTCGTCATTTTAACAATGGGATATATTAATGTAAATTGGAACTTGTGTTGGCAAATTTCAATTCACTGTCATCAATTGGAATTTCTCGATACAAATTCCAATTTCTGGCATGATATATCCGACTTTCGCACAAAATTGCAAGTGACCTGAGCCATATTTGAGTACTTTATCATGCTCTGTCCCCCCCCCCCCCCGGGCTGCAAGCAGAGTAAGTTTCTAACCCAAAAAAGGGTGACATAATATCAACACTCATGACAAGTAATGAACATATAGCTTATATATACTTGACAAGTAATCAACACTCATTACACTTGTGAAAAGCTCGAGCAATCTACAAATATCTAAGCTGATAGATTATTTATAATGATCTATCCAGTAGATGGAAGTTCAAGTAAAACATTACCAACACTCAAAACCAAAGCCATGGCTAAGCAAGTAAATCAATCATTGATCAAATGTTACCAGCAGTCCAAAACTCAGACTCCAAAACCGTGCCACGCATGCCTAAGGGAATGAGATGTCGGATGAGCATACTTACAGTCTTGCACAATTGAAGTGAGTGTGTGACTAACATATTGAGGGATTGGGACGAGGATGAGAGGACGAGACCAAGAGGGTTAAAGAAAGAAGAAGAATAAGCAGAAGAATGAAGAAGATTGCTCCAGTTTTCCTTTAAGCAACAATAATCTTTGGCCTCCCGACTCAGCAACGATGTCTTCATTTAGCTCTCTCTCACTTCGCTCCTCTGGTTTGTCGCACTTGAAGAAGAAGAGACCACCGTCTTCATCTTTCCTCTCTCTAGAGCAGTGCTGTCGGCCATCAGCAAAAGAAGAAGGATGAGTTAGTGGTCTCTCTCTCTCTCTCTCTCTCTCTCTCAACACAACGATGAAGACGACGACGACGACGACGATCTTCCCTTTAATCAACATTTTAACGATAAGTGGGTCATCGGCCATTTGAGGCGAGCAATTGAAAATTGGTAATCACCAATTTTGGTGGGAACCCCTTTTCGTATGTTTAAAAGAAAAATCAATCGTTTCCCACCATTTCTTCGAGCCAAGAGCTCGCTGGAAGTGAAAAATTTTGATTTCCCATTCGCGCGCAGGATTTTCCTCCAACCAAACAGGCTCTTGGTATGGTGCAGGGGAAGAGAAAAGTTGTGGCATTGACAAATAAAGTGAGAGGTACCATTCTTATTAACAATGTATAATAAGAATGATGCTTATTACATAAGCATTCTTATTTTCAGTTGCATTTTTTCTATTCAACGAATAAGAAAATTGATGTATAGATATTTTTTTTCAATGTTGATCAATTAATTATTCGACTATAGCCAACTCTAACATGCGTTAGCGTCTTACTTATCTAGCCTTGACTTTAAAGAGCTATATGCATGAATGCATTTTGCGGATACAAATGCTGATATGTGTGTGTGTGCGTGTGTATTGATGAATATGTTGGGCTTAACTTTTCCGTTTTCGACATAGATTTATGTGATACTTGAAAGGTTATTAGGTGATTACAATTATATTTTGACTTTTATAACTTCGTCGAATAATGTTAACTAAAGAATTGTTTGACAGAGATTTTCGAAGTTTTCGTTTGTCTTTGTTTGACGGTATACCGATTATATCGTCAATTATCATTGCATTAACGGCATGTCAATTTGCTTTGAGGGAATATTTGCTATGGAATAGGAAAAAGATTTACATGAGATTTTTTCTTATTTATTTCTTCTAAATACAACATACATGTAACCCAAATTGTTTGATAAGGACGGTACAACACCCCAGTACAGTATAATAATGTCAAATAATAAATCATATAATACTTGAATCCCCGTAATCAACAAATGCATAACAATATGCAAACTGTTATGAATATTATAACATGTGGATGTCCATCTTCTCTTCTTCCTCTTCCTTTTCCTCTCAACTTCATCATCAACTCCCACTACTTCTATTAGGCATTAATCTTCCACTACTCCATTACCTTTCCACTATGCCTTTAATCTTGTAACTCCCCCTACTCATATTCATGTGGTTTATTGTCCACTATCTTTCATTTAAGTACAAATGTAACTTATGTGTAAGAGTATGCCTATAAATAAGGCATGCCATTGTATTGTGATGCAAGTGAAGCAAGTGAAGGAATACAATATTATTCTCCTATATTCTTGTCTACTTCTCTTCTCCAATCTATTTTCATTGTTGGTTAATTTCATAACACGTTATCAGCATGAGACTCTACCATCAGAATTCATGGCTCCTAGTTGATGCACGTTGAAGTTTTGTTCGTTGAATGAAGATAGTTTGATCCGAACAGTTTGGTAAGATTTTCCAATTTATTTAGAGGAAATGATGGTTTTGCATCTTAACCATATCGATTCATTAGCAACCGAATATTTTATTTATCGTATTGAGATATAAAATTTTTTATTTCTTACTTTTCTTATATTTTTATGATCCTACTATCCTTAATACTTCTTGATTTGCTATGAGGTTTATGTTTATTACTATATATGATTATCATCTTTGATATTGGTTAATTGTTATCTTGGAAAGTAGAATGTTAAACATATAAATGAATAGCTAATAGCCATTATATTCTTGATTTTGTGATTAGATGGCCAGAAGCCACATCACGTTTTGATGATTATTTGATAAAAGACCATCTTGTGGTAGTAATAGATGGCATGACAAAACTGTCACAATTTGATAATATATATCAAAGTCTTGAAGATTGATGGTTAAAAACTCACGATACAAAAAAACTTTGTAGTTCTGAAAATTTTGTTATAGTCTGGAAGACTAATATTTGAGAAAAATGATGGTATGCTATTGAAAGTAAGGAATATATCCATAAGAGTGATAAAGAGTATGATCACATTATATCAGTTAAATTGATAACTAAAAGGGCAATAATCTTGGGGCTTGACTATTGAATCATAACAGAAGAATTAGTAATAGCCCCATGATAAATATGATAAAATTATGAACAAATATTATAATATGACCAGAAGTCATATAGACAAATATGTATTAATTAATTGAAAAGCAAATGTTTAAAAAAATGGTTGTGGAATCAAAAAGACCATGAGATATTATGAAAATATCAAAGGTAATTCTAATGCCTGAAGGTAATAAATTGTGAAGAAACATAAATGCCCAAAATATATATAAAAATAGAAAACATACAAGTATATGCCTAGAAGGCTATATGTATAATATTTGTCGGTCTTTAAATTTATTGTGATTTGTGATAAACAAATTGTTATAACAATTTGATATTGTGATATTGATAAGTGTGTATAAAACTAAATAAATCAAATAGACTCAAGAGTTACTAGTTATATTTTGTTTATTTATATCTTATTTATATGATTTGATTCAATATTAGTTTTGAACATTTTAAATGTCTATAGTACCTTAATCAATATTGAGAAGTTTTGAATGTTAAGTATTATTTGTACTTTATTTTTAAAAGTTCATTTTAAACGTTCTTCATCATTTTTGTGTGTTCTCTATGTGTATTGCAAGTTAAATCTATGATACTCATAATTATTTGTTATTATGTTAATGATATATTGAAATAAAGTTGTCTTTCATATTCGTCTTAAATTATATAGTTATTGAAGAACTAGATGTAATAGTATTAATATAATTCCAGAAGAACTAATATTGATTTTTCTTTATGAGCAGAGAAAGTATTGATAGTAAAAAATATGACCCATAGATCTACATCACAGCTTTGGTTCTCCAAAGAGTGTAAATGTTATAGTATAATTGGATCAAAGTCCGTAACTATATATGAACTAGGAAGTACTTGGGCTTCCGAGCAAAAGATAGGTTATTGGCTTTAACCTATTATATGCTAGCAGCTGTTTATGAAATATATGAATAAAGGAATCATGTTTGAATGACTCAATCTTAAAGGAGAAAACTGTTAGAATACAAGTATGAGTTGATATTGAATATATTTTTCATAAATGGATATCATCAATCATATATTATATTGAAAAGTTTATTATTGGTAACGAAACATGGTACAGTAAACCAGAAGTTTACTGATATAATTTGATTTATTGTTGGCATGACTTGTTTGATTATCTTAAACTATATAATTATTGAAGATTATGTATTGATATCCATTGAAGAACCAGAAGATTCTTCCGAATAGCCAACATTTTTAAGAATTCGTATATGCTGCTTGTTCTCAAAGAAAATTGATTATAAAATATCACTAGTTATGTTTTGTTTTTGAATGGATCAATATATTTCTGGAAATATATATGGGCCCATTTAGAAGCACATAAGCCATACAAGATTCAATATTTGATAGATGCATCTATATAAAATGGTAAGATGTGTGATTGATATTAATTTGCAACATGAAGTTTGTAAGATTATTTAGATAAATATTTCCAGACTATGTGATTCCCAAAACTTGATTTTAAAGATGCTAGTGAATTTATATATCAGGTTTTAAATGTTGAAAAGCCTGCTTAACAAATTGATCTAGCAAAATCATTTGTTAATGCCTCCGTAAATAGCTTGATCAATATTTATGAGAACAAATTTTTTCATTTTAGTGTTGGCATGTTTGATTTAATATATTGTAGCACTTATAGGCATCAAGGTAACAAAATTCTCCTGATAAAATTGGCTTTTGGTCAGGAGCCAGGTATTTTTCATCTGAAACTTGAAATATGCAATATTTTTTCTTACCAACCCACCACAATGCACATAGATGAATATTAAAAGAAATTTGGGACATATGTTGGATAAGAACCTCCTTCTTCTTGTTTGTCTCTAAATGGAACAAAATAATATTCCTAAAAGAAACAAATAGATTTAGGAGACTTATACTGCATAATTAGTTGATTGTCATTCGATAAAGTTTTCCTAACATGAGGGGGAGAAATTGAGTAGCTGGAAAAGAGAATGCATGGAACGCATTATTACTATTAAATATAGATCCTCATATATATCAGTATGGACCAGAAGTTCATCAAAATTACATTTATGAAATGCTATAAAATATTTTACTGACCTGAATGAAAATTTTTAAATCTCTTATTTCAGCTGAAAATGCTCCAATTATTTTAAATATTAAGACATGCCAGAAGCATGAGAGGTTAATCGGTTCCAATGTATATCTTGAATAAAGAGGAGCGTACAACTTAGAAGTTGTATTGAGGAGGCATGTACTCTAAAAGAGTGTCAGGACATAACTAATTATAAAACCCCAGAAGAGGTTCAGGTACCTGAAAAGCAAGAAAGAGATCTCAACAAGTTATGTCATAAAAGAAAAAATGGAACCGAAAAGGTAAAGTTGTCGACAATGATTTTCGTAAGAATATCACATGATAAAAAGAGGATCTTATGTATAGATCTATCATACAAAGTAGATATAAATTTGGTCAAGAAGAAAAGAAAAAGGGAAAAGATGTGATGAAAATGTTATTTCAATATGTGAAAATGAGCCTGTAGTCCCAACACATATAAAGTTTCTATAGAATATATGGTTGTTTATGTGAAAATAAAGATTTTCACAAATAATTATGATGAGGCATATTATTTGGTGGTGGATATAATTTTACATATTTGAATAGTTTGGCATTATGAAGTGTGCCAATTAGGTAACCCATGTATAAGGATAATTAAATAGTAAAAATTACATGATAATCCTTGAAGGATTCAAAAATATGCCAGGAGCATATATAAGAAAATCTTTCAGTATATAAAATATTATGAAGATTAAAATAATTTCAGTATGTATGATCCATTTTATAGTTTTGAATCAAAATATATGAAATTCCCTAAAGAATTTCACTTGCCAGAAGCATATAATTTAAGTTCTTGAGAACAATGATTAAGTTAAATAAGTTGTCATAAGTAATCAGGACGTATGTGGTATAACCGACTAAGTAAATATCGGTTGAAAAAATGATATAAAAATGATCAAATTTGCCCATGCATTTTTGTGAAAAAATTTGAAAATGAGTTTGCTATAATTGTTTATGTTGATGATATAAATATTATTGGAACTCCTGAAGAGCTTACAAAAGCTATGGATTGCTTAAAGAAAAAATTTGAAATAAAGGGCTTAGAAAGAACAAAGTTTTGCCTCAAATTGCAAATTGAATACTTGAGAAATGAAGATTTTTGTGTATCAAATAATTGATACAAGAAAGGCCTTAAAGTGTTTTTATATGGATAAATCACATCCATTATATATTTTGATGGTTGTGAGATTTGTGGAGGTGAATAAAGAACCCTATATATTTTGAGAAGGTGATGAAGAACTACTTAGTCCAGAAATACCAAATCATAGGTACAGAAGTTTCATATCATATCTTATCAGTCATGCATAACATCACATATCATTTGCTATTAACTTACTCGTAAGATATAGTTATTCACCAAAGACATTGGAATAGAATTCTAGATTCTTTTCTGATTCACATGCTGGTAATTCTAAATGGAGTATTTATCTCACAATATCCAAAAGATGGTGAAATATATATCTAGCAAATTTGTTCAAATAAAAATCTAGCAGATTTGTTCACCAAGTCACTTTCTATTACAATATTTGAAAAGTTTGTTCATGATATCGAATGTCACAGACTCAAGGATATCAATTGATGTTATCAAGAGGGGGAGTTAATACACACTATACTCTTTTTTCCTTGTCTATGGTTTTTTCCCACTGGGTTTTACTAACAAGGTTTTTAATGAGGCAGCATCGAATAGTATATTAGTGAATGTGTACTCTTTTTCTTTTACTAGGTTTTTATCCCACAGGGTTTTTCCTAGTTAAAGTTTTTTGATGAGGCACATATATTATATAATGGACATCCAAGGGGGAGTGTTATGAATATTATAACATGTGGATGTCTATCTCCTCTTCTTCCTCTTCCTCTTCCTCTCAACTTTATCATCAACTCCCACTACTTCCATAGGCATTAATCTTCCACTACTCCATTACCTTTCCACTATGCCTTTAATCTTATAACTCCCCCCACTCATATTCACGTGGTTTATTGTCCACTATCTTTCATTTAAATACAAATGTAACTTATGTGTAAGAGTATGCCTATAAATAAGGCATGCCATTGTATTGTGATGCAAGTGAAGCAAGTGAAGGAATACAATATCATTCTCCTATATTCTTGTCTACTTCTCTTCTCCAATCTACTTTCATTGTTTGGTTAATTTTATAACACAAACTACAATATTTATTGAATTAATATATAATTATATAAAGTTACATAGATCGACACCTACCAGATTCCCATTCTTCATATATGAGAAGATAGATCACAGGATTATTAACTGATTTAATAATAATACATAATTGTAATGATAATTAGGATGAGAATAAACAGGAATTAAGCACAAATCTAATTTTTTCCTCACCGCTCCAACAAAAGTCTCAGACATATCAAACTCTTCCCGCCTCATTCCATTAGGAAGCTTCCAATCAAAATGATACAACAAACTGGCGAGTGGAAGCCCAACATTAGGTGTGGCAAAAGCGATTCCTGGACATATCCTCCTTCCAGATCCAAATGGGATATACTCAAAGTTTGTTCCTCGAAAGTTATAATAATCAGAACCGTCCATAAATCTTTCTGGTTTGAACTCTTCAGCTTCAGACCAATACTTGGGATCTCTTCCTATTGCCCAAGCATTCACAAGGATCCTGGTGTTCGCAGGTATTTTGTATCCATTGATTTCGCAGGTTTCTTTGTTTTTCCTTGGAAGTAGTAATGGAGCTGGTGGGTGTAACCTTAAAGTTTCTTTGACAACACATTGTAAGTATTCAAGTTGGTGAAGTTCTGCCTCGTCCACGTATGATTTGTCTTTGAAAATCCTTCTTAACTCAGCTTGTGCCTTTTCCAATATCTTTGGTTGTTTCAACATCTCTGACATTGCCCACACTACAGTTGTTGATGATGTCTCAGTTCCTCCGATGAATATGTCCTAAAATTGATGAATTTGTTTTCCAAGGTTTAGATTGGTCAAATCTTGTTTCACCCTTCTTAATTTGAACAAAAAAAGCCAAGCATAAATACATTCCATATTCGTTAAGCATACTCTTAATTTGGTGTTGAATTTTGCAGAGCAAAAATAATCAAGTTTAAGCATCTTGGTTAGTTTGTCCATTATTTTTTATCCATGTGCCAATCAATTGAATCAATCAAACTCTTCATGACCAAATAAAGCTAAGTTTTCTTCCATTAATCACCAAAATGAATTATGTGCAAGCTTCCCCCTCCTTTATAAAATGATCGTGTCTTTGTAGTTTTACACATAAGTTAAGAAAGTCATTAAATGGTCTAGATTGTAGCAAATACTAAATCCTTATTTCTAATGCCTCACTTGATTTTTTTCTTAGTTCAGAGTAGAATATTACAAAAATAACTAATGTTTCATGAAAATTCAAAAGCAACACCACCTAATGTTAGCTCAAGTGATAAGGGAAGGGTGAGATTGAATTTTGTAGCGGTCAAGGATTCAAATAATCAGACCCTTATGAGTAACGTAACCAAAAAAAAAAAATTCCATGCCTCACCATTTACCACAATTAATGAGAAAATAATTATTTATGGGTTTATATTTCTAAGTTTGCATTATCAAATGTTAACATAAGCATCTAATTAATCCTACTTACCAGAATTGTTGCTTTGATGTTGTCAACAGAAATGGGAACCTCCAGGTCATTTTGCTCCTGAATTTTCAAGAAAACATCAACTAGATCTTCTTCAACCTTATCACCACATGTTCCATTCTTCTTCTTCTTCTTGTGATCATCAATGATGTTGTCCAATATTCTATCAATCTCTTTGTGCAGCCTCTCAAGTGTAGCCTTCATACCAGAAATATCTTGAAGAAGCTTCATGGAAGGGAAGAAATCTGAAATGTAAAAGCCTCCAGCTAGCTTCAAAGCCTTCTTAGCACACCTAAGGAAGGCTTCTTGGTCTCTTGATCTCCCACCAAAAGCTGCTCGTGCTACTATGGCGTTTGTCATGGACATTATCATCTTGCTCAGATTCACCTCTGATCCTTCGTTTTTTGAGATTGTCTTCACCACTTCCAACACTTCCTCTTCTCTGATAAACCTGCGTTTTGGAAACAGTTAGGGTTCTTTCAACTAATTAATCAAATCTTATTTATAATGCATCTAGCACCCTCAACTATAAATAAAATTAGGACAGTGGATTTAATCAAACAATAATATTTGGGGATATTAGATTTATAGAAAAATAATGTCAGGGTGCTGAATATATCACACATAAAATTAGGACGCTGGATGCTTCTAGAAAATAACATCAGAATGCTAAATGCATTATATTTATTGTAACCAAGTGTGATAAAAGTAGGGTGACCTGACTTCCTTCGGTAATGTACCAACAAAAGGACTTGAAATACTTGAAAGGCTTTTTCATTATAGAAGTTAATTAGTTTTAATAGAATGAGCTTCTGCTAGTAGCCTTTTAACCTGCTGGCATAAAGAATCTCTTTAAAAGTTGGTAAAAAAATAAAAAATAAAAAATCTTGGGAATTCGCCGGTTCAATTCTACTTGTGAGTTGTAGTCTCATGTCATCTATCCTATAATTCAAAAAACAGAAATAGAATGAGCATTTTTTTTTAACTGCACATAGTCATAGGTATCATTCTATTATAGACAACTCTATTATGAATTTGAAGTTGATCGTATATAACAAGTATTTTTGCATGGGTTTATAATAAATGTATCTAAATATAATAAAAAATAGATTATGAATTCATTGACATCGAAGTTTTAATCAAAAGAAAAAACGAACTTTGATTTTAAAAAAAAAGGCAAAATTATCATATTGAAATTTATTGGGTTCAAATTAAAAGAAATGTTGACCATATAACACACTAATCAAATCTTTCTCACGGCCCACTTCATTAATTAACGCTTCAAGAGCCAACTACAGAAAAGAGAACAGCGCGAGGAGAATTCTTGCATACACCCAGCCTACCACCTCATTTGTGCGCTGGCCAGTAATATTTGACAGCTCAAGAAATCTATATCCTCCTTCTCCACCAACGTGACACCTCCCCTTTCTATTATTTAAATATTTTTTTAGGAATATGTGTTTTTTTATTGTCTCTCTCTTCTACTTTCTGTCCCATCTGCAATTTTTTTTTTTAAAAAAAACTTTTACTCTCCATCCCTTATTTGCCGCCACTCCTCCAATCTCTCTTCCTCCACCACGCCACCCTCTTTTTGTCTTTCCCTTCCGGCCTTCCCTCATCCCCTCCATCTCTCATATATGATCTTGTCGCGGCAAGAGGCCCTGTGGCGGTTCTGATAAATCACTCTTCATGTGTTTGTGGATTTCACTGCTCATATCTTTTCTCCCCTCCCCTCCATCTCTCTCTCTCATATATGGTGTCTGATTTGTTCGGAAAATATGACAAAGAAAGAGAAGTTTCTGGCCTGTGAGAAATCAGTATCTTGTTCTATACCTCCTCCGGCATCTACATGCTAGTCACCGATTACTAGCTCACCAAGCTTAGACATTGGCGTCGTCACTTTTCAGAGACTGTGAGGCAGTGGACACGATCGGCGCAGACCCTGATCCCTCCGTGGACCGCCCCATTTTTCAGCTGGCATCCGTGGTTTAGGCCACTCTCCTGTACTCCGACGGAGGTGAGTCTCATGATATCCACTTGCCTGAGAGAGGGAGATGGGAGAAGTGGCGGTACTTGAGAGAGGGAAGAGAGATGGGAGGAGTGGGGTATTGGGACGAAGAGAGGCAGAGAGGAAAAATGAAAGTTTTTGAAAAAAATTTTACAGACAGGAGAAAGAGTACCCGGGCGGGGGAAGAACACGTATTTCAAAAAAAATAATTGAAATAATAGAGGGAGAGGAGTGACATAGGGACTGACAAGTAGGATAAAGATTAATCAAACTGTCAAAATATGACTGGCCAGTACATAGATGAGGTGATACGCTGGGTGCATGTAAGAATTTTTCCAGATCGAAAGAGGAAAAGTATAACTCTTTTCAGCCACTGTCTTTTAAAGAAAAAATTAATTCAAACTTCTCTATAATTTTTCTTAATTTTGAATCAAGTTATTATCATTTATTTTATTTGAATTAAGTTCTTATAATTAAATTCATTATAGACATTTACTTTTAAAGGAATGTTTGGATAGAAATAAAACTATAACTTTAAAAGTGATTTTAGAAATAAATATGTGGAGGATTTTGTGTCGATTTGTGAAAAATATTCTTAAAAAGTATTTTTATAGCTTTCCAAACACCACCTAAGTGTAAAATTCATTAATTATAACTTATAAAATTTCATGGATTTTATGACATTTTTTTTCTTTTTAACACCATTTTTAACATCCATATTTTTTTTATAAATTCGTTATAATTATTGGAAAAATTGGGAGAAAGTCATCCATTGAGGTTTTTTTAATGAGAAAGACCTGATAAATTTTTATACACAGAAATTATAGGTACCCTGTAAATTTTGCACACAAAATATTGATACTGTGATTAAGGTTTTTCTAACTAATAAAATTTTAGGAAAATTACTATGTAGTCTTAAGGAAGAAATGTTATTGCCAAAAAGTTCCATAACAAGTAAATGACAAATTCTAATGCATAAATAGTAACAAAACTTAATAAGCACATAAAACTATCCTCATAAACTTACCTCGTATTTTATAAATTATTATTGAAAAACAGCTTTTAAAGAATCTTACAGCCATTTAAAACAATTTCTTATATTGCTCACCTGTGATGAAGATTTGTTTAGTAATTATATTATTTCTTGGAATATCATAGTGATGCCCACTAAAATTTGTAAAGGGAAATTTTCCATAATAAGGACCTAAACAAAATAAACTACAAGAATATGATTTAAAGTTGAAATAAATTATAAGAACATATGAATTAATTTTTTTCATTTTACATCGAGTGTTATTATTGCGTAACTTATAATCATTATAGGAATGAAAAAGAAGAATCACTGTGAGGTGTCAAAAAGGAAGATAATTACTAAAAATTCTTAAAAACAAATGAGAGCTTGAAATATGCTATTATTTCCTATATTGGAACTTATCATGATAAGCTGCATAATTGTTATGCGACTTTGTTGTAATTATCTTCATTTCTTGAGAGCTATAGCAATTCTCTCAATGAAAAAAGTGAAGCGAGAAGTATAGAAAATTAGAAAGAACCTGAATGATTGGACCCTCTGAGCAGAAAGAAGTTCTGAGCTGCAAATTTTCCTGAGCATGGACCAGTAGCTACCAGAGGAAGAGAAAGCAATGTTGGTAGCATTGTACGACAAAACATCATAAGCAAAAAGGTAAGGTCTATTAGAGAAGACAGCATCGTGTGTTTTCATAACCTCTTTGGCGGCTTCTGGGGAAGAGATTATGACATTACAGGTCTCTCCTAGTTTCAGATACATCACAGGAAGGCCAAATTTGTTTGCTAAGTCTCTGAAAGACCGATGGGGTAGTGGCCCTAAAAGGTAGTGCATGTGCCCTAGAAGAGGAAGCTTCCATGGTGGTCCTGGTGGAAGGCAAGTTTGGGGAGATTTCTTGAAGCTTGGTTTCACTACATGAAGGAGGAGGAGGAAGAAGAAGAAGAAAGCATAGAAGGTAGAGAAAAGAATCTGCAGAAAATCCATGGCGGTCGGAAGAGAACTGGCACTATGATCAGTGTGTGGTTTAGGCATGGAGAAATGGAGAGCTTCGTTTAATATATAGTACTCTCTCTAATCTGGAATGTGGGAGATTTTTCAGGACTTTATTTAAACTTTATTGCAAAATCTCATTAGATTCTCGCTGCTGCATTAAATATTTTCTTTTCTGAATATCCTTATTATCCTTATTTGATGCGTCATTGTTCACTGCAAAGAAAATTCTATTTTTCTTGGCCCACAATTACAAATCACTAGTTTACCCATCATGTTTCTATTATCTTATTATGAGGCGTCTTTAAGAAAATGTGGTTAAATCATTAAATTTATTTGGGAAAAAATACATTTTTATAATTTTATCCATATTTAAATATTTTCTTTGTTCACAATATAAATCACCTTAACTAATTCATTAGAATAAAAAAAATGACGGTTAACTCATTAAATTCGTATCAAATTGAAATCTTTTTTCAACTTTACACATATAAAATGAGAACGTGGTGGACAGCAAAAAATATATAAGAAGTTACATTTACGTATTAATTGCAAGAATAAAATTACCATATAAGCATTAATTAAATTTCAAGTGGCTTATATTTTGAACATTCTTCTACATAGAGTGACTTATATTTTGAAATAGAAAATTTTCATACATTCTCCCTCATTGTCAATAACTTTATAACAAGGATTATCTGCACCTTATATATGTGTGTGTATATATATTAAGCACAAAAGGAAATAAATGACAGGAGTATTTCCAAAAAAGTTATTACAAATTATTGAGACATTGATTGCAAATAGCTAATTTAAGTTCTTCCCATAATCTATTGGTCTTATTTAACAATCATATGATTAAATTTCGTATATGAATTTGCAACTATATCATTCATTTTTTATTCATACAAACAAACTATTAAGGTGTATAGTATATACTAAATAGGGATAAAATTGAAAAGTTATTAAATTTTAAGATGAAGTTAAAGTGATTACTTTTTTTTTTTTAATTGCAGATATCTCTTCCAGGAGAGATTCGAATTTTGGTTCATTGCCCACCCAACCCCCTGGTCATTAGTGACTACTTTAATTCAAAGGAAAAAAAAAAAGAGGTTCAAACTTTGGCATTTTTCTTATTTTTAGTTAAATATGTTAAAAGTAATATATATATATGTGTGTGTGTGTGTATATATATATATATATATATAAGACTAGAGAAGTATAAATTTGGCAAAAGACTGACTACATTTGAAGTGGAGGCATGTGATAAAAATGATATGCTTGAGAGAGAGGTAGGCAACATGTTGAATAATGAAGCTGTCCTTTTTGGACTCATTATTTTTGAATTAATTCAGTGATGACGAAAACAAAAGTTGAGGCTATAGATTTTCAAAGTTGAATAATTCATTGTTAATTGATTATTAAAGTCACCAATTCTCCTATTCCATGTGATAAATATGTCGGGCTTGACTTGCCATTTCATGGAATAAATTCAGTGAATTTTATGGCCAAAACGAGTGGTTAGATCACAAAATCAATTATGTTGGCTTGTATGATTTGAATGCTACTAAAGGTAAAAGAATAATGCGTTATGTTCAGATGTATTTAGAGCTTTTAATTTGTCTGTTGCTTGTGGGTGGATGTCGGATCATCAAGTACTTACCACGTTTTTTTAATACAAATGCCATGAAAATGTGCAAGAAGTGATGAGTTGATAATAAGCACAACCGTACTAATAATAACAAAACTGAAGTAAGAAGTGATTCTAAATATTTATTGTTCCCTCCATTTCAAAAATGTTGTAGCTTTGTTTTGCATTTTATTTTTTTTAAAATTATTAATGTCTTTTTAGAATTTCAGTAAAGGATTTCATTAAATTTATATAGTTTAATATTTTGAACTAGAGGAAGCCCGTGTGTACATACAAACTCCATGAGGTCCTAAAGATAATACTCTCTTGGTTTTTAATATAAAACTTATTTTGTAGCACAATTTGTACTACAAGATAGGTCTTATATTAAGGATTGGGGGAGTATCTAGTTTGTAGTACAAATATGCATTACAAATTAAATTTTATATTTAGAACCAAAAGTAATAATAATTTGCATTATAAACTAAATCTTATATTTAAAACTAGAAATAATACTAATTTGAACCGCAAATTAGATCTTATATTTAGAGTCGGAGGTGGTAATAAATTTTTAACAAGTCACCAGGTCATAAATAAGGGAAGCTGACATATGGGACTTACTTTTCAATAAGGCCAAGGAATTATGAAATTTTAGTTCTTGCGCAAAATAAAATTAGGTTGGGATAGAATTTAGCAAAAATAGCCCTAACTATTGAAAAGAAAAGCAAGTCTTAATGTACTTGTTAATAGCTGTATTGGGTATATTTTATAAATTTGTTCATGATGCAGAGTAAATCTTTGTTGGGAATAAGCTTTTGATTTTTTTTTCTTTCTTTGTTTTAGTTTGAGTATTTTTCTACTGGAGACAATTCTGTTTAAAAGGGGTGTTTGGATGAAAACCAAATCATAGTTTCAGAAGAATTTTACAGTTTACAAAGTAAATATGTGAAAAAATTTATCTCGATTTGCGAAAAAGTGCTTTTCAGAAGCACTTCTCATGCCATCCAAACACTCCCAAAGTATTGTCAAATACTAAATATAAGGACTTTTCTCAACACGAATTTGAATACTAATTCATTGCGTTGTGAAGAACTAGTCTCTTCTACTAACTTCAACCCCCTTGATAATGAGATCTTAATTTATAAATGTGCTTGTTAATTCCAACCAACAATATTGTGAATCCTATAGCCTAGCTGTTAATGACTGTGATCACTACTTCGAACTCGTAAAAATGATATGAAGTTATTGTTTTGTTTGGAAGAAGTTAATAGCAAAAGATACTTATATATTCATTACAACAAAGTTCTAAATTGTAATAGGCTAGTTGTTAATGACCTTGTTTAGTGCCTTCTCCAAATTTATCAGTTGACTTCGATAGCTTCCATCTTTAGTTTTGAAAATGTCAAATTTTAGCTTCCATCTTTAGTTTTGAAAATGTCAAATTTCAGAACCAAAGGTTTATAATTTACACTGCAAAGTGAGTCTCATATTTAGGATCGGAAGAGTATGTGAAAGCAAACCAAAGTCTACTTTATTAATGAACATATTGGAACTAAAAAAAAAAAATAGAGAAGGGAAAGTTACATTGATGCCTCACCAAAAGGCCAGCATATTTATATGACAAAAAAGGACTAAGGGTGTGTTTGGGTGACACCCCAAACACCCCCTCTAAAACCAAAACCATGGTTTTGGGGAATAAATCACCCAAACACCCCCCAAAAACCAAAACTATGGTTTGGAAAAAAACAAAAAATTTTTGCTTTTGGAGAAAAAAGGGAGAGTGTGAGAACCTATATGATATGTATCTTGTTTTTTTTTTTATAAACATACTTTTTTATAAACATATTTAATCTTATATTTTATAAATATATATACACATTAATTATTTATTAATTATATTATCTTATGTATTATTAATTATGTTGGTAAAAAATATATTATTAACAATTTTATTCTTTCAAATTAATATATATCATAAAATCTATTTTTCTGTAATTATCATATTAACTTATGTCTTTTTTTTTAGTAATTTGTATATATAAAAAGTGCTTCTGATAACAACTATCTAAACACTCTCACTTCTCAGAATCACTTTTTTATAAAATCTATTCTTCACAAAATCTATTCTCCCCAGAATCTATTCTCCAGAATCACTTTTCTAAACCACGGTTTGGTTTCATCCAAACACACCCTTAAGACGATAAGATCCACCGATATTGAAATTGGACAGTCTTGTCCAAATTAAATGGTCAAATAAATCTAATGAACACACATCTCAATGACTAAAAGCAAAAAGTCTCACCAAAACAATTAAATGGCCAAATAAGAAAATGCAATTAATACACAAAACTTGATGATTGAGGAGCATGGTGTGATGAAGAGCACAGGCAAGGAGTCCAAGCAAAGAAATCGAACATTCAAAAAGATCCATTACAAGGCATTGGAAGACCAATGACAAGAGCAAGGATTAAAGCTATAAAGGAGGCCCTAAATTGTTTAATAAGAAAGTTAAAAGAGCGAGAGCCCATTTATTTGAAAGAAATACATTTTAATGAGCCTAAAAAGAGTCCAAAAATAGTGATCATATTGCTAGAAGCCCAACAAGATGATGTACAAAGCCCATGTAGGGTTCAGATTGAAGAATTCACTTAAAATACCATGTGACAAGCATGTGTCTTGGACAAGAATCATAAGTGATGTCCAAGAATCTTCAAGAAGGATCAAGAAGGCATCATTATGAATTGATTATGATTTAAATTCGTTTTTTTAGGTCAAGGAATGCTCTAAAAGATCATGCTTTGATCTACTTTCCTCTTTTTAAATAGCAGACTTGTTCTTGAAGTTTAAGTTATTTCCTTTTATTTCTATGTAATAAATGGTGCTTCCCATAGTCAAATAATCATTAATGAGGCCTCATCCGTAGCATTTATGTCTTAGGATACTGATTCTAGAGTGTTCTATTGTTGCCTATATATAGGCTACGTTTTTGACATTGAAGGCAGACTTAGATGAATGAGAATTAAGTTTATTTCTCTCCATGTAAGTTTTGCTTGCATCTTTGTATTCTCGTGAGAATACTCGACAGTATCAAGGGATTGATCAATCTTGTGGTGTCTTCATGACTAGAGTTATAAGAGACAGGTTGTCTTAAGGTCCTACCTAGATCAACCGTCCATCCGTTACTTGATTCTAGCTGGTTCTTACGTCCCCTCATATCACTTGATCATACACTAATGGTTAAATAGCTAATCAAAGCACAACTACCTAAGCAGCACATAGCCTAAAATTCAACGGCCGATTATAAGAAATGACGTAAACATGAAGTCTAACCACTAAACTTCTATAAAAAAATCTGATAAAAACA